TTTTTTTTCTTCCTTTTTTAATTACAAAACTTTTACTTTGTTCTTGAAAGCTGCAGCACCTGTCTTGGAAACTTGCAGTTGTAAAACCTTTGCTTTGGTTTCTTGTATTTTTTTGGTTTTTGTTGTTCTGCTGAGACTTCTTATGAATGGCGCGTCGGCAGAGGGAAAAAATGTCGCCTGTGTGTTGCATCTCACAGAAGTTGAAATCCTGGCCCTGTTGAAGGGGCCAGGGTGTCACCTGGTATTTCTAGTCTTAACTGATGCTGTGGCACACCTACCTTGCGCAGAGATCTCCATTTTTTACTGTGACTCTCTCGGTTAACAGCTAGCTGCCGACAGGATTTGGTGTCCCAGGCCAATGGAGAACCATTTCAGGTCACATCCTCGCAGCCATCTAGGTTGTTTAGCAACCGAAGGGTATAAATGTATTTATATGCATATATTGTATTGATTCTAATATAAAACTTCTGATCTAAAGCATTTTGAATTGCTGGATAAAGGGATTTGTTTGAAGAGTGTATAACTAGTTCTTGAAGAGGTACAGCTTCAGAATGTACACAGATTGTGCATTGTTTATAGACTACTCTGGCTTTTCCTCAGCCTCTACTTTTGTATTAAAAATATGACTGAATAAATCCTTGAAATATTAAGGGCCTTCTGCACTGTGATGAAACAGAGATGCGGTTAAAAAATGTCTTTAAATTCAGTGATGAGGGAGAAAATAAAAAGACTGCATCTAATCTCTTTTTGCATATGAAAATATGGAATGTTACTATGCAGTAAAGATATTTTGGTATGAAAATAGTATCATATAGCAAATAGTGAACACTTAATAAATACACTTACCTTGCAGTCTCTCCAGAAACAGAAGACAACTTGCTTTTCAACATTTATGTACTAAAGTTTTTTGTATACTGCAGCAAAAGATTTAATTGTTGGTAGATCTTTTATCAACAATTCAAAATGCAATTTTTGTACAAGTCCTGGCTACAGAGCTCTGTTTCTAATTGGTTGCTTGTGTCACAGTGCCAAGACCATGAGCTGGTGTGTAATGCAGTTTGGTTATGTTTGGAATTATGTGCAAAGGGAAGTTTAATTTTTAAATATGCACAAACTAATTTTAAAATCCTTCCATGTAAAATGAAGTTAGAGGCTAGTTGTGGTGGACCTATTTATTGTATGTTTGGAAATAAAAGCCACAGTTTTGCATTTAAACCAGTTATATTTTGGAGCCTTCAGTATGTGAGTGTTTTAAAACAAAGCATAAAAATAATCTATTTGCTACCTTTTCTTTGGTCTTTCACTCAAAGACATAACATTTTCCCTAGGCATTTGTACCTTTTTTCTTTCTCCACATGCCCTCTCTCCCCCATCCTTTGTCCCTAGAAATCCTAAACACCTTACAAAGGTGTCCAGAAATTGCACAGGCCAGGCCTCATAACAGGGTTCCACATGGGGTTTCCACATACCCTGGAGGATGGATTCTTTTAGGGCAGCACCACAACTTGAGCTGGCTGTCTCCAGACAGGGACTGTGAACACTGAAATTCCTGGGCACTTATGCCTATAACAGTAATAATAAAAATAATTCAGACCATTAAGGATAATAAGGTCTGGGTTCTTCATGGTGTTGGTTCCTCCATTGCTCTGTGGTTGCTGTCTTACACAGCATCTCATCCTCCCATCCTGGGAGCCTGAGGCTGCAGTTCAGGATTCGGGATCTTCTAGTAATGTTACACTCATTTTCCACAATCCATAGGTTTTCTCTACTCTAGCTGCTACTACCTAAGCTGCAGCTTTGCTCTGGCTCTTAAGTTTTCACTAAAAAGCATTACACGCTCACAATCCCTTTTGAAGAAAGGATGGCCCACAGTTTTTTTCCAGCTGGTGGGGCAGGGGGATTCCTGTTGGGAACAGTGTTTTAGCACTGAGCTGTCCTCTGGGCTTTGTCTCCAGTGCCCTGTGAGTGCTCCCAGCCCCTGCAGTTCTCCATGTCCCTTCAGGGGCTGCTGTGCCTGAAAGCACGTGTTACATACAAGTGTCCTTGACACACAGAGTGTGACTCCAGACCTGTGTGCTTGTCAGACTGGACAGGAGCCCTGCCACTCTGGCTGGGCTAGTGAAAGGCAGCTTGTACAAATCCAACCTGCAGCTTCAGGTTTAGAGGTTTCCTCTTCTGTTGTAGACCTCAAAAATGACATCCTGACCCTTCTGCAATGAACTTCCAAGGTTTAAATTGAGGCAGAATCTACATTTCCCCTCATTTTCAAGTGTTTAAATAGAGATGAACATCTTTATGTGCCATGTTAAGAATTGCATCAAGTTCCCTCCATTTTAAGGGAAAAAACATTCATCTCATACAGCACTGTCCAGCAGCTTTCACTGATGAGACTGCACTGGCTGATGCTTACAGACTTCCTCCTCCCTTTGTCAGGAATCCTGCTGACCACAGTGTGAAAAGCACAGCTCTAGAAGGAGCTGCACAGAAATGCAGTGGTGTGAGCACAGTGCCATCAGCTCTGGGACTGATTCATTCCTGAGGAAGCCACTCTGGATGCTGCAGCACAGAGCTGAGCCAGTGCCTGTGGCCTGGGAAACGCTGCCTTTCAAGGGTGTGCTGCAGTTCAGTGTTTTTAAGAAAATATTTTTGAAGCTTTCAGAGCAAGCTGAGACTGTTTAAAGGTGGTGTAGGCTTTCATACGCTTGCATCGATTTTAGTCACGCTGAAAGATGTGAACTTAAAAGCACTCGGAGCAGCACAGCTCAGTGCAGTGCTGCTTCAAACAGCTGGCTGGGGAGGTCTGGGTGCTACCCAGAGTGCTCTGTCCAGCTTTGTCATCTGTGTGCTGGAAGTAACACTTTAAAAGACTAATTTTCCAGCACAAACAACAGGAAAATACACCAAATTAAATAAACTATCCACTAGTTCTGTGAGGAAGATGAGTTATAAATTAGTGGAAAAACTAACTTTGAGCTGTTTGAAATCAATGTTAGAAGTGAGGAATTAAGCTCTGAAGATGCAGAAGTGTGTCTGTAGAAGTGTGTGTTAATAAAGCAGATGTTTGGGGAAGCTGAAGGATTTTTGGCATTTCAGGATTTGCCCAGCATTCACAGGAATCTCGCCTTGATTGAAAAAAACAAAAAATGTTGCAACTTCATTCCATACATTTTTCTCTCATCAGGGCCTGCTTATCCCACCCAGCAGAGCACTAAGCCAGGCTGGCTGTGCTCTGGCTGTGCTGTGGGAGGCAATTTAGGAGGTTCTCACACATATTTCAATAGAAGGAGCAGAAACTTTTTCTCTTTTTAATCTTCCAGAGCAGATCTGGAAAGTTAAACTTGGATCCACCGGGAAATTTGGGAGTTTACAATTAATTTGAAGGTAGCTCGGTTTTAGCCAAATTCCCCTTGCTGTCTTAACTGGAGTAGGAGTACTCCAGAAAGTCACATTTTTTAAACTATTAAAGCTGATTTTCATCATTAAAAAATACCAGAGTGCTTTTAAATCCTGCAATGACCTTGCATTTTGAAAAAAAAAAAAACTTTCACCTTTACAAGATTTCTTTCATTTGTTTTTCACTCCATCTTCTGCATATGCAACCAATGGTGGGACTATAGTATGGTTAGAAATCATCCTGGAGGCTCACTGTCCCACCCTCTTTTTCTTGATTATTTTTTAAATTATTAGAATTAATCAAATTCCACATTTTAGAATATGCACTGACAAATTTTCAGTCTTTCACAATGAAGTTGGTTTGAGGGATTTTTTTTGCAAAGGGATGTTTACAGCATTCCTTCCACAAAGGAAGCGTTTCAGTAATTACACTGCTGATGGGAACTTTGTAAAACTTTATTCTGTGGGTGTATTTTCCCTCTAATCCCATCAGAAGAAAGAGGCATTGCTGTCCAGCTCTGCTGTCCAGAACTCCTGCCTTGCTCTCATTTTCACCTTTCCAAAATCCTAAGCAAATGTCAGAAGTCTGTGGTATTTCCTTTCCGCAAACACAGGGTACAGTGACACGTTTGGTTCACCAAAACTCAGGATTTCAGAGCTGAGAGCTCGTAACCAAGATGAGAAACGGTGAAATTCGTAGCTTAAAAGGTGCTGAGGTACAAAGTGGCGTGTCCTGTGTGCAGCCCTTGCAGAGCAGACAGCGGTGCCTCTGGGCCACAGCGTGTGCTGCCACGCTGGGCTGCCTGCCAGGGACAGCAGAAGGAGGAAATGACTCAAGGAACCCAACGGGCTCTGCTTGTGCAGAACACGCCAGAGGCGCTTCCGGCACCCCTCGTTCCCCAGGATAACCACGGAAGGCGAGGCTACGTCTTTACTATGAAATGTGCCTGAAAATGGTTGGCTAGGCTGTGGTTGGTCTCCCTGGCAGAGTCCAGTTTTGTCTTTGCAGGTACCCCCAAATGTGCCGGTAGTGTCCAAATTCCGGTGGGGGCTGGAGGGTTGCCAGAACTCCCCAGCCTTGAAGCTGAATTGATTTACATTGCCATGCGAATTTTGCTAGTCTTTTCCCCTGGGATGGTGAATTTGTTCATCTCAGATTGGAAATGGGAGTTACAGGGTCCCTCAGTTGTCTCCTGCAGCCAGTGCTGACAGGCAGTGAGGGCTCAGGTGGACCAAAGTGTCAGTCCAAAAGAGAAAGACCTGCAAGGTGGAACCCATCACCTTTGGAACCCCAGTAGTTTGCTCCCCTGCTGAATCACAAGGGCTGAACCCTTTTTTCTTTCCATTCTGTACCTTGGACAGGGCTGTAAAATCTGCTAATATAAGGGAAAGATGACGTATGCATCCTTCTCCCAGAGTGACAGTGCAAAACATTTTTCAATACATTCATCCAATGCTCACAAAAGGAAAGGCAAAATAGAAAGCCCAGAGGAAAAGAGGGTTCTGATGCATCAGTGAATGTTGCACACAGTATGAGTTGCCCCCTAAAGCCCCTCTGCAGGTCCCTGCTTGTCTGAAAGCATAAAAATGGGATTTTAATCTTATAATTGATTTTAATAATGTTTATTACCAACCTCAACTATTCATTCACCATTTACTGGCAATTTAACATTTTGTGAGCTTATGACTACAACCTATTTAATACATATTTAAGAGCTCTGAAAGAATATAAGGGAAATGAAAAATTAATTCAAATCTAGAGTTAACTGAAAAAGTTAACCCTGCTCTTGTATCCATATGGAGTTTCCAGTTTGGCTTTGCAGGACTCTCTCCATGGCCAGGGAAGCTGCAGAGCCACTTTAAAAGAGCATTTTTCTAAATGCTCTCTTCCATCTACTGAGAAAGCAGGACAGAGTTCATCCCATGCTAATAGCACTGAGGTAACACTTAAGTTATTACAACAATTGTAATGTCACTGCTGAACACTTTACTAGATTAAGAATTGAAGTCTGCCAGTGCTTTATAGTATTCTTAAATCTAAGAACAGAACAGGCGCTTCATTAAATAATTAACTGACTTAGTTTTGGAACACCCAACTTTGTTCCCTGCTTTCAACACATAAAATATCAGTTGCCGTGCTTAGCAACTCCTTAAAACAAAAAGCCATATAAAGTTTTCATATTCACAATGTCCAGAGCAGCAAACAGATCTGTAACTTGTGTAAAAGTTACTGCCAATGAATAAATAAAGCTGTTGCATGTGGCAGGGAACCAACACAGATTCTTCTCAATGACAGTGAGGTGCATCCCCTGTGGCACTCAGGCATGCAGGAAGATGGGCAACAGTCAATAATTTCTATAAAATTCTAAAAGGGCAGGCATTTACACCATGATGCAAGTCCTGAACTGCAACTCTGCTGAGCTTTTACAAGCAGGGTATGCAAGTGTGGCTGAATGAACCCAAAATGTCCTGTGACAATCAGCTTCAATAAGGTGATTTATTTCAGCCAGAAACCAATGCCAGAACGAAGCATTTTGCTGCCTCCACCCCTATCACCACAGCAAGCTTCACCAGACAGAAATTAAGACACTTCTATTTTGCTAACCCCCACTCAAAGTCCCAAATGAAGAAGGCTCCTCTCACTACACTCATTACAAAGCGACAATCTCAGCTGGTCCAAACTGGAGCAGGTATGAGGAGAGATGGTGACAAGGCACGTTACCACACACCTGAGACTTGTGCAGGCTCTGGCAGGGAAAGAAGGGTTTTGATTGAAGAGGCATTAAGGCCAGAAAGGTCAGTAGTTCAGGAGGCTCCACCAGAGCTATCTTGAAGCGTGGCTGCAGCTGCAGCATTTACTGTAAGAGACACAACTCTGCAGCAAAATCTAGCAGGGAAAAATTACAAAATCTGACTTCAAAACTAAAGAGGAGAAATATCTTCTAATAACATGGCCTTAGGTCCCTCATATACAGCAATATGTCACTTTCCTAAAGAATGTCTGTAGTCTATAGTACCAAGTCAGTAACAAAATCAAGGTAGACTGCATTCAGTTAAAAAAAAAAATAAATAAAAAAGGCTAAAAATTGCATTTAGTTCAACAAACATCACTACTGAAAAATTTCATTTTTAGGTTGTGTGTAGCAAAAATCTGCTTCTTCCTGGGGATTGTTATACACTGTGCTTTTTCATTTGATGGCGTGGTCTTCAAAAAGAGGTTACAGGAGAAAAGGTGACCATGTCTGGAGTCTGGTGACACAGAAAGCTGAGTGAAAAAGGAAAACTTAGTTAATTTTTTCCATCCTACAGGAGGTTAATCACTTTGCATAAGTCAACCTAATTTAAATAAATTTTCATTAAAATAATTTTTTAAAAATTATTTAAATTTTTTTAGAGGATAAAAAATACATATATATGAAGATAAATAGAAAACATCCTATTATATGATTTGACTTAGCTTAAATTAGAAATAGTAACTTATGTATTTTAATGACTTTTTCTTTGAGACACCAAGCTGCAGCTTTTGTTCTTTCCCTTATAAGGCTATCCCAGAAATACACTGTCCTTTTACCTTAACTTTGTACCACAATTTTTTTTTCTTTTATTCCTTCTTTGTCTACTTCAAACCACTTCTCCTTTGTCTAAACCCTGTTCCTGTATTTTACACATTTCCAGTGTGATTCAGCCACTGTGATCCCCCTTCATGTACTCACTGAAGCAAGCAGAACAGAATTATGAAGGAATAAGCTGGACAGTCCTTTTAAGTTTTATTTCTGAATTCTCCAGCTTATCATCTCTTGTGTACAAGGTTCCCAGAACAGTTAAACACCTTCACTGTCCACAACAGTAAATAGAATAAAACAGGGGAGTGAAAGCATGTCTGAAACTATCTGTCTCCACAGTGGCAACAGCTGCTCAGTTTTATTCTCCACTGAGGAAGGGACCTTGGGTTAAGAATATTTCTCCAAAATACCTTGCTAAAAAACAGACTGAGGTGATTGAGGTGTTCTGCAGCAATGAAGTATGACACAATTTTCCTTCCAACTTGCGTTGCTATGGCATGAAACAAACCAGCACCAAGGTATCCTTTCTGAAGCTGTCAGAGTTTTCAAAGAGCAAAAACCAATTCCACATCCAAAAGTTGTACCAGGACTAAACCATTACATGAGAACAGGTGCTGGGACAGCATGAGAGGAGCATGCTAAATACACTCTGTGGTTCTCTGAAGTGTTCACTTCCAGAACAATCCTTACCTTGGTCTGGATCAATGCTTTGCAGTCATTAACACTGAATCCATCAAGTCTAAAGTCCTCATTATCTTTGACATCTGATTCCTCAAGAATATCAGCCCGGTTCTCTGAAATGTCCTAAAAAAACATAATTTACATTTTACTTATGAATTTATTTATGCATTTCTACCTGATTCCAACACATACAACCTAAAGACAAGTTTCCTTCAAATAACAACCACTAAATTTTGCTTTCTGAAGCTGTATTTTATCATGTGTCCCCCTTTGCATTAAAACAATTTTATGCAGAACCAGTCCTATGATGCCTTTTGTATTTTTCAGATTCTGTACTGCATTAGTGTATAACTCTGGACTCTGTACAGAATGCTAGTTACCTTCCTTCACATTTTGGTCAGACTAAACAATCCTTCTGGGCCTGAGACCCAAGGTCATCAACACAGCCTCAGGCCCGAAAAGTATAAACAAAAGTAAATCGGGAGAGAAGCAAACCAGGGAGTGTTACTTCATTACCTGAAGCTATAATTGGGCAATTAACCTCTGATATGCAAACAGACCAAACGTTTATCTGTCTGAGAAGACTGGTGATCTGTCTGGGGTGTAGCCTTTGCACTGCCCAAGGTGTATCCTTTGAAGGCATTTTAATAAATACCAACTTTATTCTCTAACTCTGTCTAGTCTCTGTTCCAGGTAGCCCCTCAAGGCATCACCTACACATGTGAATCTGTGACTCCAATTAATAAAAAAGCCATTTCCAATTAGAATTAGCCTTAATTAGCACCAAAGCATTGCTGAGAAATGCATCTTAATCAGTATTGTTAAAAGCAATACAGTTTTCCAGTAAGAGATAAGAAGTAATGATGTGAAGTTTAAGCTGCCTGGGCATTGATTTAATGCTGGGGGGCAAGAAAAGAACAGAATGAGACTTTAGACATGTTAGAGAAATGTCTCCAGTTCTCTCTCTGTTAAATTAGAGCTCTCCAAAGTGACTTTTTCAAGTGCAAAATAGGTTTCTACCTTCAGCACCGTCCTTCTGTTTGTATATAACTTGCATGAAAAGTCAAATATGCCCATAAAATCATTACCTTGCCAACCCTGTGCTTCAGCATTCAAATAATCAATTGAAACCGTTACTTCTGAAAATTACATGTGACTAATTAATCCCAGCTAAATAACTGAATTCTAAACCATCCCTGACACCTGTATCTTCTCAAAACAAGAGATTGTTAAACAGAGATATTTCTATTTGAGATCTTTCAACACTGCTGGTTTGGTTTCAATCCAATTTAAAACATATTCTCCCTCAAGCCTCACAAAAGCAGACAGAGGAATAATGTGAGGAAAGGGGAAGTTGAACACACTTTCAGTTTCTTCACAGTAAAAACATCCAATAATTACTGTAACAGCCCCTCTGATTCAGATCTGATTTTCACTTCACAGAAAGATATTACAGGCTAACAGTTTTCTCACAGTCTGAGCAAAAAAAGTAAACAATCCTATAGCACACACACCAGGGAGCTGATCCTCTAGCACCTGAAAACTACTTCTCCATCTCTACCAAAGCTGAGTGTACCACCTAACTACAGGGAACTGTGCTGGGCAGACTTCAATGTAAAGACAAAGTGTGATCCTGCACAATTTCTTAGTTACTTACACATGAAGATGAGAAAACACTAAGCTATTGTCTTTAAAAGCTCCCTGTTAAAAAAAAAAACCAACCTTGTGACTCACCCAGATCCAGTCCCTCATGCATCTGCATGTACAGCTTGCAGAAGATCAGATTCCCAACCCAGTGTTTGTGCTGGCAGAATGGAAAGCCATTGTTCAGTTACCTTTTGATTTGCATCTATTCCGAGAACACTCAAGAGGTTTTCTTGACAGTGAGATTTACTCCAGGGATATCTTAAACTGGGGGTATTATCAAAGTCTCTGAGTGCTCTCCATACGTTTCCAGAATCCATGCTAGGAAACAAAACACAATTTGAGGTTTAGAGCTGAGGCTTCCAGTGAACATATGGAACAGTTATTTTCACTACATACAGCTGTATACTAACCCTGATCTAACAAGCAACTCATCTTAAAGCTCTTTCTACACTTGCCCAAGCTACCAACCCAAGGTACTAATGAGCTGGCACGACAATTAGTGGAAGCAGTAAGTCAGCATAAGTGTATGTTTGTGCTCCTCAGATAAGAAGGGCACCAGAAGCACATGTCAGACTGCTACACGCCAACAGCTCGCAGTATTCTGTGAAATGTGGGCAGAGTTCAGCCCTGAGAGTTCTGCACTTTGCCTTTCCTGTCTCTCAAGTCCTTCTCCATCCCAAAGGTCACACTTCACCTCTGCAGCACCTGCAGGACAGAACAAGCCAAAGGCACTCACTGCTGAAACTGCAAGGAGAGACTTCCCCTGGCGTGGTACTTTGGATTCTTACACTGCATTCATCGCATATAAAAATTCAGTTGGGCTTTTCTTAGTTTGCACTTGTCATTGGCCTTAGTTACTCATCACAGTAGATGAGGAAATTTTTGTTTTTACTTGCCACTCTGCTGTAATAGTGCAGCCCCCTTTACAAGTATATTTCTCCACAAGTTTGATGATGATTAAAATATAGCACATATGAAGGGAACTCAGCTAAAAGGGTGCCCACATTATATGTTTCACCTTCATTTCTTCTGAGCCTTAAGACATTTCCCAAATGTGGTCTGTCACTGGTTTCTCCATGAAAAAATAACTGCAACACTCTTCAGTAGCTACAATACTGCTCTGAAGCTGCTGATCCTTAAAAAACACAACAAAACTAGAAGTGCTCCAGCTGTCACAAGAGAAAGCTTAGTTGATGATACTAATTGCTATTAAGATAGCCCAGGAAAGAAGACAGATGCACCAGAGATTCTGAAGCACATCTGGTTAAACATGAGAAGAAGTTACCAACTGGGAGAACTGAGGGGAGAGAGAAAAAAAAAAAGCAAGTAAGTTGTTAGTAGAAGCAGCAGCCTCCAATGATGAAGAAATAAGTGGGATGTGCTGTAAAGAAAGGACAAGCAAACAGGAAGAACAGGCTGCCTGTTGGGTTCTGGCATTCCAGAGGCTTAGTCATAAGGAGGCACACCAACAGAAGGAAAAACCCTAGGCAGGAATTTGTAATTTTGATATATTCCCTTCATTGTTTTCCAATGGCTAAAACACCATCCATTTCCTTTAAAAATATGCTACAAAACTGGTAAGATCTATGCACTGAAAAAAACACTATTAAAAAGATTTTTAAGTGCACCACTTATTTTTAAATTATGAAACAGTGTAATTGATGGGGAACCTTTTTTCTTTTCTTTATTTTCTTTTTTTTTTTTTTTTAAACTAGGAATCTAACTCATTACCAAAGTTGTTTCTTCAAAATTTCAGGAATCCAAACATTGTCATTATTTGCATCAAGAACTTGCTCTAAGCTTCTTATGCACTCTCTGGACTGTGGTACAAAGACTTCTGGAAAGCCCAACATAAATGTCTCTTCATAGCTGTGGTCTTCCTAAAAAAAAAAAAGAGATTTTTATTGCATACACCATACAGACCATCCCCATAGTTCATGAAGGACCTGGTCCAAAGACTACAATAATTCTAGAGATTGTTTTTTTGTTTTTAGAATTTATATTTATATCAATATTCATAGCAGAATGGAGGGACTGAGCTCATATTTCAGTGTTTTGAGTATTTTGAGTACCTAGAATTAGAAGAAGCAAGAGTCCCAGAGTTTCTAATGAACCTTAGACTTTAACTTCCCAGCTTCTCGGTCACAGACTTGCATATTTATTACTTATGACTCCTCCTTCTGCTCAGCTAATTCAGTCCAGGTCAAGGCTAACCTACACATTAATTCAAAAGCTTCTTCTGCTAATTCAGTATTCAAACACCCCAAATTCAAATGTAACACAGCTGCCAAATACTACAATTAATAATACTAATAAACACTTGCACTATGCAAGTCTGCAAAAAAGCTGGGGTGAGGATGTTCCTGGCCTTGCATTTGCACCAAACGTTTTCCAGCCTATGTTAAAAATCAGAGCCAGATTTAAATCCTTGTTCCTCCTCAAGCAGTGATGAGGAGGAGGTTTAGAGGACTGTCCACAGCACAGGACTGATCTAGACAGGTGTCATGGAACTAACCACTGGTAAGTAGGGTTATCTGACAACTAAGAAATACATATACAAGGGAAAACATGCATAATTTACATCCTATCCTAGAGGCATGCCATCTGGTTTGGAAGCTGTATCCTTTTATTCCTTCAAGAAGGGAATTGCTGCAATTTTCCAAATAAAAGCAAATTAATTGACTTCACCACCCTGCCCAGGGACTGCAAGGCAAGAGCAGCTACACTGTGAAAATTCAAGAATGGAACCAGTCAGTTGATTGCCCAGCAATCAACAATTTAGCATGAAAAGCCTTAAGCATATATACTCCATATTTTTATAGTTTCATCTAATTGTAATTCAAACAGCTGAAATATTTCCACAGTCTCATTACACTGAACACAGATAAGTGGGGTGAATACCGAGTATGGATTTAATCTAAGGATAAGTGGGCAAAATCAACAGAGCTGGTAGAAGGCTTCTGCTCTTCTGACCATGCTTCAAGGAACAGAACTTGTGCCCCATGCTGCCCCCTCCTGAAGTAAGGCCTTGCTGAAATCCTGTCCTGATGATTCACTGCTGGGACATTCAAAAACTTCTGGGTAAATTCCTTAGCGTTTTGCCCGAAGTGTAACAATAGTTTCAATCAATTTGTAAATTACCTCAACAGGGATAAAACCTGACCAAAAGCTGGAGAAGCAGAATTCTGTGAAGCAACACTTGCTAAAGCATACACGGCCAAGGAAAAAAAAACCAAAAAAAACCAAAAAAACTTCCAGGTAGGGAGCAAAACTGAGATGGGAGTCAAGGAAAAGCCAGGCAGCTGCTCTTGGCTCTGGGATGGGAGAAGTTAACAAACCCAGGGAGTGCATGGAGGGAAGCACAGCTCTGCCTCAACTGCAGCATCTCTGTAGAGCCTTGGTGCTGCTCCAACACACATGCAAGTCACTAATTTATAGTTTAGCCAAGACAGATAAACATATTTTCATTACCTTTATTACTGTCTATTACAATGAGTGTTTCTGAAACAAAGTTTGGGTATATTTCCATTTACCTTGTGGCTTTGTACTAATTATAAAAAATCAATGTACAAAGTTCACATCGGTACTTTCTGAATAAATCCTCTATATCCTATTATATCAAAATTCCCATGGATTAAACACATGCATCAGTCCCTCTCTCAAAGGCCAATGTTTAAAGAGCACGTGAAAAATCCTCAGAGTGTTCAATTGTGCAGGCAAATTACCCAGCTACTGCAAGGAAATTAATGATTGTTTCCATCTTAAAACACATGATTCTGACCCCAATTTACGTCATTTAATTAACTGAAGCAATAAACACTGAATATCAGACCTCTGACCTGAGATGATTTCTAGAGGTCTCTTCCAACACACCTGGCCTTTTTCCTATTGATCATACAGAAGCCAGAGTCCAGTTCAAAGACTTTATGATCTCAAACTAACAATGCAAAAAGCACAGGGATAAAGGCTACACACATATTCTACACTCCAAGGAATCTCCAGCAGCTCTGTGGCTGTCTCTCTACCTTAAGATAAGAAAAGACAACTTGAAACTCTAAGCATGGGTAACTTATTTAACTTGTACTGGACATTTCCTTCTGCCTTTAACAAATGCAAAATAAAGAAAAGGCTTCAGTAAGATTAAGATCTGTTGCTTTTGGAAAGAAACCAAGCAACCTGTTATATTCCATTTCAGCTTCAGTCATTAGAACATTCTTTTCCTCCAACAGAAGACTTCTTGTCCCCCATTCCCAGGATTACAAAAAAATTGAATTCTCTGTTTGTTCACACCAATAACCAGGTATTTTGTGTATCTATACTCAGTCAGTGTGGGCAGCTTTTCCCACCTGCTTCTTTGTGATTTTCCTAGTAATACCTCTGCAACAAGTAAGATTCCTAGGCAAAGGGCAAGAAATCCTGTCTCCACAAAAGTCTCAGCTCCCTACACAAAGTGAAACTCACCCAACAGACTACAAGCAGTAAATTCTACTGCTACAGATTAACCCCATGGAAGTCCTAGCTGATTATTCTCCTTTTTAAAATGTTGTCATTTAGGATTAAAGTAGTAAGAACAAGGGGATTTTGTTCTGTATTTCTATGTTCTTTCTTCCCTTTTGTTACTTTCCTTTGCTGATGCATGTTTGGTCCACATGGAAACACATTTATCCCAACAAGATATAACCCTTTACCTGAACAGGTTTTACTTTGTGCTGATAAGAATTCATTGCATTATTTATGCAGAATTTTATCTCTAGTATTTTAAGAGTGAATGTTATATCCTATGCTAAAAAAAATCATATTTCTATTAATTTCTTGTGTGTCACCATCAGTCTAAAATTCCAGAAAAACTGTTGATATTACTCAGGGAGTATACTGAGTATACTAAATAATAAAAGACATTGTTTTTGCCAATTTCTAACTCAACGGTATGTGGGTTTACTTCAATAAGTTTGCAGGCAACTCACAGAATTTCTGTCCACCCTGCTTTTGTCACCCACCTCCCCAATTTGTTCCAAATTGTTGTTTCTTATGTTCTTTCTTGTCTAAATTTTAAACTTCATGTCCTTCAGGACAAGGTTCAAGGTGCCTACATGCCTATGTGCCTACTTATTCCTAGTGCCTGGAAGCAAAATAGTGCATTACATTCTTTAAAGCTCTCCAGCAGGACAGCTTGAGTATTTGTCAAACACTGTAAAGGAGCTGCTTTTGTTCCACCTGAGGTAGCTTCCAAGCAGCTGGAGAGTTTCTCTGCATGTGCAGCACTAGCCTCCACAGAGAAGACAGATCTGGAGGTGTAGGGAGCAGCAACACGAGCATTTCTGCTCCCTGGTTTGCTGTGAACACGAACCTCATTCAGAGAGCCCGGAGCCTCCTGCATCCCATGGCACAGAGATGGCTCAGCACACACCCGGGCACCAGAAGTGCTCCAGTCTCCGCTGAGCAGGTCTGGGTCAGCTCCAGAAGCTTTTGTTGCGTTCACCAAAACTTCAGGGGTATGACTGAATCTCTCTGGTTTGTCTAAGGGTTCCTTGAAGCCTTCAAAGTCACCCCAGGAAGCACTGGGTTCTGAGGTACTGAAGCTGCTCTCAGAAAACCCCTCACAACTTCTCCCTTTGCTGTTCATTACAGGGAGGCTTTGCTGCATTGCTTCAAGATTAAAAATTTCTTCATTACTTGTTCTTTCATTCCAGTTACAGCCACTTTCATCGAGAGACACGACACCTGTCTCAGCTGCCAGGTCTTTTAGAGGCTCACAGTGTGATATGTCTGTATTAGCAAAACTTTCTACCACTGACAAGTTCTGCATCTTTGTTCAGGAGAAAAAAAAAAAAAAAAAATTTGTTGAAATCTGTACTGCAAAAAGGTTACTGAAGTTCAGTTGCATCAGAAATATGAGTGTTTCCAAAACAAAATCAAAATCTTCATTTCACCCCAAAGAATAACAACACTGCTGAAACAAAACAGGATGTCCTTCAGCCTCTCCTCCAGTACTCGGCATGTGCACGTTGTTCAGCCTCACTTTCTGTGGAGAGTATTAAGCCTGCAAAGAAAGGATTATAAATAAATACCTCTGTGATAAGGCCTGTGTAGGAATAAAGATAGCTGATAAGGTAGGAGAAGGAATGCTTGCATTAAAATAAACACATTCCGGCATTATCCACTGAAAATTGCTGTAGGCAAAATTATTTAAAATTTACACTGAACTATCTGCCCACACCACAGGAAAGCCATGAAATGAGTGAACAATACTCAGCAAATACATAACAGAAGTTACTGCATTAACCCAGTACTGAGTATACTGGAAACAAACCAATATAACTACAGTCATTGTCCAACACTTTAAAACTATTTTCTGTAACTACTTCATCGACCTCAAGCACACTCGAATAATGCTATTTTCTGCCTGCACAGGCTGCCCCATCCCAACGACTAGAATCCTGTAAAAATATAGTATTTTTTACTATATAGTATTATATATATATATATATATATATATAATATAATATAACATAATATATAATGATATATAATATATAATAATATATTATATATTATAAATATATAATAATATAATATATATATAGTATTTTTTACTATATTTTTTACTATAGCCATTCACGTAATTGAGGCAGATCGAATAAATTCAGTTTGGCATCTGTAAATGACACAGACAGTGCAGCATCGACCATGTTAGATTAGCCCATAACCAAATCCTCAAGCATTTTCCCGAGCTGTTTTGGAGGGGGGAGGCTTAAAAACACTCACTAAACGCGCTTCTCGCCGACCTGCCGCGGTGTTTCACAGAAGCGAAGGGTGTTTTCCCCCCGCTTTCCTCCGCAGGCGGGCCGGGCACAGAGCAGGGCTGCGGCAGGTCCCTCGGCTCGCAGGGACACGNCATCCCATCCCATCCCATCCCATCCCATCCCACCCACCTTGCCAGGATCAGAGGTGTGGGCCAGGGGCTGCATGCCCCAGGCTGGCTGTTCCCAGGCCTGGGGGTCAGAGGGAATGACACAGAAAACTCCTCAGCTCCCCGTCCTCAGGCTGGGTTAAACATCTGGGTAGTCCCAAGGAACAGGGGACAGTTGTAAAAGCAAGGAAAGAGGTTTTCTGGAGCAAGGCCCAAACTAAAAAGCTTTCTCTAGGCACTACAGTACATATGTTTTCCAGCCCAGACACAGACACATGCGCTGCTCCCACGCATCTGACTCTCATTCCAGGCTGTAGTGCTTTATCCGAGGGCGAGAGGCTGGATTTGGGAGCGATGCCCAGACGCAGAGCCAAAGAAACTTTATTGGCAAGTGTCTGCAAGGTTTTTGTAATTTGTTTTCTTTCTGCTTCGGAGAGGTTTCCTGCCCTGCGTGGCCATCCCGTGGCAGCCTGCAGCTCTCAGGATATCCGACCGGCCCGGCCAGGCTGATTCAGCCCCAAAGCGCCTGGCACCGCCTGGGCTGCTGTCACCCCCACGCTGCTGTCACTGTGTGCCCTGGGGACCTCAGGGCTTCCAGCTCTCTCTTCAGTTTTGAAGGGAGATCAACATTTTTTTGCAGTGAGTGAGGTTGTTTTGCTCAGCTCTACACTTTCACCTTTGTCTTCTCGAAGGAAAGGGCCACAAGCAGGCGGCACAAAGGCTGAGGTGCTCCTCTCCTCCACCACACTTCACATCAGGAGAAAGGCTGCGTGGGATTTGCAAACCCTGCCGAGTTCAAGGTGTCCCTGCAGCAGAGCAAGGAGCTGTGAGAGAGCTGGGGATCTTCAGAAGCTGCCACAGAGTGTGGGAACAAAAGAACCTCCAGCACCTTCTTCCCAGGGCAACATCAGGAACTCTGTGAAGGGCTGGCCATGCACCGCTGTTGTTTGTGTCTCTCCAGCACCTTATAACCCACCTTGGGAAATCCAGTTGCTAGCCCTGGGTCCCTGCAGTGGAGCAATTGGCTGCAGCATCTGCTGGGTGTAACCACTGCTGCCTTCTGCTCTCGGGAAAATGCTGATGAAAACCCACAAAAACACAAGAAAAACCTGCCCTGCTGTGTTTTTGGAAGGTTTGCACTTCTAAAGTGTGAAGTACAGCCACCCTGCAAAGTGGATTTCACCTGAATTCATTCCTCTGGACTCAGCTGAGTGTGCGACAGCTGCTGCTGGGATCAGCAGCTCCTGCTTTAAATGACACTGGTGTTTAAGTTAGAAGCATCAACACACTTGGATTAAGAATTTCCCCCTCTGAAGGACAGTGGGATAAAATTCCTGTTATCTGTTTGGGGGAAAAAAAGAATTTTACAGTTTTGTCAGACCAGGCCTTGTGTATAATTACTGCATTAAATCAGTATTTTCTTTTTGAACTATCACTGTGGGGTTTTGGTTTGTTTTTTGTTGGTTTTGATTTTTTTTTATATAACTCAGTCATTTAAAGGTAAAAGATGGTCAAAATTACCTACTTAAGAGGTAAAGAGGTCAAAAGCTTCAGACATGGAATATAAGTTTATATTTAGACACACACGTATGCATCTACCAGAGCAGAACATCATTACTCAAAAATTCACCAATTCGAACAACTGAATTGGCTGAACACTTGTCTTTATTATTACTGCTCCTCTAAGCATTCCTACTGGAAAATCATTTGAGTTTAGTACACATACTCTTACATTTTTCCTTTTATCCTTTAGAAAAACACCAATTTGCAGTGAAAAAAATCAACATAGTAACTGAAAAGTGTTTATTTTCAGGTCAAATCAGCACCGTGCTGCTGTATTACAAATCTGTGTTTGGTTATGAAAGATCTGGTCCTGGATTATTGAATTGTTTGGTTCCCTTGTAAATGACCAGGATTGTTTTTTATGGATTGCTTTTTTCTTCATTCATTTTTTCTTTTGGAAAAAAAAAAAATATAAGCAAGAGATACCTTTGTGTGCATAATTTTCAAATTTATTTGTTTGTTTCAGTTTTCTCAATTGAAGTTTTAAACAAGATTAAGTTTCTATTTAAAGAACTGAAATATTTTCTTTAATTTCTATTAAATGTCTTTTCTCGTAAAAAATAATGCAGTTACATTTAGCTGAAGTGATGCAAAATGCCATTGAGAAAATAGAAGTAAACATGTTTTCAGAAGCAACTAAATAATTTCGAATGACCCAAAACAGCATTTCAATAAATCAGCTGCCTTTTCAGTTAGTGATTAATGTTTTTTTTCACCCTAAGTACACAGAATTTAGAAATGTAGGACATCACCAATTCTTTCATTTCCAGAATAATGCAGAATGCTCAGCTTTTTGAAAACCCACTGCAGAGATCAGGTGTAAATACTGATCTAACTGCCTGTCTGTGGCTTACACTTGAAGATGTGGCTGATTTTTCCACTGAAGCCCCTCCTGGAGGCACAGTGGGTTTGCCATACCTTCTTCCCTCTTTGCTTTGCTGCTGGTGTGGATGGTTTGAAAGGTGGGGAAATCCATCCTCCTCTTCCTGATTTACACATGAGAACAGCAGATCTTCAGGGCAAGCTTTTCTCCTCTCCAGGGCACAGGGGGTGCAGATTCCTGTTTCCCCTGTGGAATATTGCTCTGTGTGCTAAGCCAGTGTGATGGGAGCCTCTGGCATGAAGGAAACACCTGCAGCTCTTAGCAGTGCCTGGGCTAAAAGAGGAACCAGGATTTTTCCAACAGCAGATGGCAGCTCTCCCTTGTCTCTCTGTCGTGCACACAACACATCTGTCAGTTCTCCTGAGCAGGGAAAGTAATTAATCCCCTCTACTCTCCACTTTATAAAGGTATTGGACCACCTGCTTTGTGTGCTGACCACAGAAAACCCATCCCACGGGACCCCTTCACTGATGGGCTGTCAGTGTAGAAGGATCTACCCTAAAGAAAGTGACATCCTGTGCAGGAGGTGGAAGGTGTACTTCATGTCCTTCTCTTCTTGTCTCGGGTGTGAAAGATACGGGAGCTGTAATCCACCTCTGAAAAAAGCAGCATGTGCAAGAGGCATCAGTGCCCTGTGTTCAGTGGCTGCCCTGAGTGCTTTGCTTGCCCACCACTGTGGCAGCAAAGCAAAGCTCACATTTGCTTTGACAGTTAATCTGGTTCTCAGAGAGATTTTGGGGAGCACAAACTGGGGAAAGGCAGTGAAACACCATTCCACTCAGGCACTTCACAGAAACATCGTCTTCCAAATCCAGTGGGCAGCACTGCTTTAGGATCTTCCAGCAATTCACGTAACACATGTGCTAAAAGAAGACTCTCTAAGCATTCAGAGCTCCCACAAGATCCCAAAGTGGGTTTTGTGCTATGAAAAGGGCCAAGTTCCACAGGCACCTTCCCGTTTGCCAGCATTTTCCCGCTTCCACTCTGCCACCACTTCATCATCCAGTGACACTTCTAGTTTGAAATCCTTTCCTCTCTTCAGCTGCTTTCCCTTCTGTTGTCAGTCCCACTTGCTGAACCCCTCAATTATTTTATCAGATCTTTTTCTTACTATCCATTTGCCAACTGTTCTCTCTTCTGCCTTCAGCCTCCTGAAAACTCAGGGAGCTGAGACTTGGGCCCCTGATGGAAGTGGTGATGCTTTTTATTCACTGAGAGGGACAGAGGTTTCCTGGGCAGCAGAATAATTTGCTGGTAGAAGCAGGAGATTGCTAATGTTATGACTGTATGAGAGCACTGGCCAGCAACAGATTTCAGAGAATAAAGGTGATCCTCTTGAAGTTCTATTGCACTGCACTGAGAGCACAGCAGACACACACCTGCTATGAGAGCACAACACAGCAGCAGCTGCTCGCATGGGCTCTGCCACCTTGCTGGAGGACCTGCAGAAGTGACAGTGCTTTGATGTGGCTCCAGGGTGCTATTCCTGGATCCCACAGAAGATCTCTTCAAGGCCATACTGTAAGATGCCTTTTTCATCTCCTCCCCTCACTGGCTAGAACCAGCACTCTGTATCCACACTCCTGTTTCCAGCACAGTGAGTGCTGCTTTTCTGTAAGAGCTGCTTGGCAGGGGGGGAAAAGCTTCTGAAGGATTACAGCTCTGGGCTCAGATCTGCAGGAAAGTGATAAATATCACCAGACTGCCCAGGAGTGCTGGCACACCTCTAAAAGCAATTCCACAGGGGCTACAAACGGCAGGAGAAATAATTCACACAACAGCTACGTGAAAATACGAACAATGATCAGATCTGCCTGCTCAGCCCTGATCCAGGATGGATGGCTTTGCTCACAGCCATGCAGCAAACATTGTCATGTTTGTGTAAAACAAAGGGTGGGAGGGCTCCTCCTCTCATTCAGATATCCAAGGTGCCAGACTGGCTTCTGGAGGCTCTGGAGAGGTGACATGGCCTGACAGCAGTGTCCTCCTCCAGAGCCACCAGGTTGCACACATATCCCACAGGAAGGCCTGTGGCAGGAGCCAGAGATGAAGAGAGTTCAGCACCTTCCTTGATTGATGTATAAGCCCAGGACTTACTGCACCAAATTATTTATTATTATATGCATAGCGGTGGCCATTTAAATACCTTGCTTCTTATGATCAGCTCAGTCAAGAAAAAGATCCTAAAGCAGACAATCATACATTTCTTTTACCTCTGAAACCTCCAACTCCTGCTTCTCTTAATGCTGTGTTCATTTCCTACTTCAATTTCTCCTTGCCTTGAGTGTAGTCAAAGCAGAAAAACTAGGAGCACATATTCTCCTTTGGTACCTTCTCCTGTGGTACCTTTTCTGGACACAGGTGAAAGTGGGTCCTACACTCCCTGAACCTGAAACAAAAGCCACATCTCCAAAAAGGGGGTTGTTTAAAAGAAAAACAGTGGGGTACCACACTTGGATTGTATTTGATGTTTCACACTCACCTACCTATACCCTCTCCTCTACTAAAATTTCCTATTAATCTCATGTTCTGTGCCACTTTTTCTGCTGATCTTTCAAAATTATCACATTTTTATATTAAACCAAACAGTCTCTGCTGCCCATGGAGGTTTTTCAGGTACATAGACATTAATTTACTGGGAGCATGCTTAGCAATTTTTGCCAGTCCCCTGCATGTAAACTGAGCCATGATCCCTGTGGTCTGCAGCTCACTAATCCTTTCAGTTTTAACGCCTGATTAGGTCCCAAATCCATCATTGTTAGTGAGATGTGGGTGTGGGGAGGGCAGGGGGATTTCATCCCCTCAGCTGAGAGTTAAGCTGCTAGAGGTCCACCCGCCTGGTGCTGTACCAGT